CAATAGTGGTCTAACATTGTTCCATTCATGATCTCAAAATTATGATCAACTTTTGATACTTTTTTTCATTCATCAGTAAAGAAAAATTATAGAAGTAAATGAGGTAGGAAAGTTTCTGTTGTGGTGTGTGTAAGTAGTATATGACGCGAGTTAAAAACATAATATCTGGCAGCAGAAGATGGGAGAAGATCAAGAAAGGAAGAGCGAAAACACGATGCAATTTGTAAAAAGACTCATGAACAATGAAATGTGAGACAATGGAATGATATTTTGCAAATTAACGATTTGCTATACGCTTTTGTGTTCTGTGTTCTGTTCAATACACTGTCAGTAGATTAGGAATATTTTGCATTACGGATTGATACTAATTTTACAATTACTGAGAACCAGAAGAGAGTCTATTGTTGAAATTTATCTTCAGTGGACACATATATCTACTCAAGTAGTCGAAGATTACATCTAAAACCTAACTATATTTATTATTATTATTATTATTATTATTATGATTATTATTAATGACTTTATTCCATATTGTATTTTTGGTCCAATATAGAGTTTTTATCACAAATTATTTCAACAAGTTTCCTTCCCTTATTTCTTGATCGATCCTGATGATAAATACCGAATGATCGCCAGTTAGATGTTAGCAGTTCGGGAATCGACATCTGAATAATGCTCATTCTTTTCAATGTATATTGCCAGTCATCACTGATGTCTCTAATTGTACTTATTTGTAACTTGTATAGCGAAAGGTCATAAAATTTGCATAAATGCACTTGAATAGGTTATGCGATTAATAGATATAATGACGTGTTAAAACGAACAAAAACAGTTAATATATTGAAGTATCTAAATAGCAGGAATAGGTGACCCAGATATTCAAGTAGGCCGCCTTAAAGGTTCCAATCTATGACGTTACTGATAAATTTAATAAATATTGTGAATCATTCATAAAAGATGTAAATAATATGTTAATGAAAAAGACTATAAAAGCTAAACTATTTATTGATTTGCATAGAACACATTTGTTCTGGTACAGTGGAATATCAAAAACACAATGCACCATTATATTGGAAGGAAATGTAGTGAACAAAAACAGTACAGTAAATGAAAGAAATCAATACACAATTAGAAGATGCAGTTCATTTAAATATAAAATCAATAACAACTTCGTTCTGTTAAAAAGAGTTCATCTCACTACTGTAATGAAATTAATTGAAAACTACTACAGGATCAGTACTGATTTCTATTGACACATGACTAATAACTTCTCAAGTCAATAAGTAACAAAACTTTTAGGGCTCCAGTCGAGGAGCCGTAACAGATGGACAGACTCTTGTTTTATACATCTATTTTTTTTACCACTGTTTTATACATGATGGAGAGGTTAGTAAGATGGTGTTTATAAAACATGACTAAGACAGTGAAATCAATGACACAAACTGAACTGAACACAAATTCCTGAACGATAATATTACCATCGAACATAAGTGGTACATTGAAAACTACGATAACAGATGCAAAGACAGTTGCTGAACATCCTCAACTCAAAGCAGAGTAGGTCACACAAGCACAGGATAGAATTACTCTTACTAACGCTTTATAAACTCAGTTTTTACAATTTAGCTAACAACAAGACAGCTTCAAATCGATCAATCAAATGTAGTTAATTTCAGATTGTTTTTCCCATCCAATTTATTATTAGTGCTTAAGCGATGGAAAATACCAATTTCAAAATCACACATATAGATTGAAAAAATACAGGCTTAAATGACTCCATTTACAGATGATGTTAAATCATTTAAAATTTATTAGTTATTGTTAAGAGTTTTATTCTCGTTCACTTGGTAGATGCTGGACATCAATTTTTGACTTGAATAAAGCTTTCAATGTTATACACTGTATTGGATGAAATTTAATTCAGGGTTTACGGGTGAGTCTTTTGCTTACCGTTGAAATCTGTTGGAATTTGCATTCATCAGTTTAATCGTTTCGCTAAAAAAACTCATTCAACCTCTCTCTCTTTCTACAATAACCATTAAAACGAGAGTGAGTTACATATAGACTTTGTATCACGTTATTCAATTGTAAAACATTTCTTAATTTTCTTCCCCTTTTTTTGAATTCTAACATTGTTTTAATAAACGTCTATTAATTCTTAAGCAACTGTTATAAAATTAAATTTCCAATATTTTACAAATAATTATTCTTAGAAAGGGTTTTGTGGAGATTTTTTTTAGAAATTTCAATAGTTGAAATCATGAATCAATTGAAACTACATCACCGTGGAAAACGTGGAGGCATTAGATGGCCGTTTTGTACTAGTATGGAACTCCTCAGCAGTGCACACCCATGATTCTGTCCCTCAGGAGATTCCAACCCAGAACCTATCAGTCTCGCACTCGGACGCTTAACCTCTAGACCACTGAGCCGGACGGCATCCAACGGTTTTAATGTCTAACCTTAATCAATCCACGAAATCGCTCCACCGTACACCATTGTCTTCAGTGAGTTGATATCTCACAACAGACCTGATTGAACTCCACTGGTAACGACTTCTCACTAGAACTCCAGGAGTATCTCTTGAAGTCAGTCACTAGTGAGCAGATGATTATTATTGAAGGGGGTTTTGTGGAGATTTTTTATAGAAATTTCAGTAGTTGAAATTGTGAATCAATTGAAGCTAGACCACCATGGAAAACCGTGAGGCAGTGGACGGTCGTTTCGTCCTTGCGTGTGACTCCTCAGCAGCGAATATTCACGGCTCCGCATGCATTACTCGAACCTAGGACCTTTGATCTCGTGCGTGATCGCTTGACCTCTAGACCACTGAGCCGGTGTCCAATGATGTCAATGTAAAGTCATAACATTATTACGTAACATCGCTGCTCGACTATTATTATTTTATTGTCGTATGTCATATATATCAGTGTCAATTTTTAGTTTATTTATATAATGAAAAACCAATATATATGAGAAATAAATCAATGAAATAATATATAATATCGATTATTAACGTGTTCACGGTGTTTATTTTTATTTACCGAAATAAACTTCTCATTTTGATCTATGGTTCATTGTATTCTATTTTATTGATTCTTCGATGATAAGTGAGATGAATTACGATTCAATGAAAGAAGAATATTTGTAATAGTGATATTATTATTATTATTATTATTATTATTATTATTATTATTATTGTTCATAGAACCTATATAGATGCAAATGTTTACATACATATTCAGTCATGCATATTCACATGTATTATATTATCATTCACACTATAGACGGTATAAGTAGAGGTGAGTTTGAAAGGAGAGAATTATTATGTAATATGAATAATAAAATGAAGACAAGAATGGTTACAAAGACAAATGTCAATGAAAAGGAAAGGGGTGAAAAGGTTGTGTGGAAACGATAATGCTAATGCTAATAATAACAATAATCGTAGCAGTTTAATAGTAGTAGTAGTAGCAGAAGTGTGAGTGGTAGTAATTAACGATGGAGAATCATTTAAAATCCTTATAAAATAATGATAAAAATGGATAGATCTAAATAAGAATTATACTTATGGCGACAGTAACCATAAATATTTTTTAAAGTGAACATAAGTGAAGAAGAAATAGAAGAGGCGGGAAAAAGAAATAACTATTACACCCATGTACTCAATGTCAATATACGTAAAATAATAACAGTAATAATAATACATTAATGTAATACTAACCAACATAACTATAATCTTATTTTTTAAGAACTTTATCATTTCTGTCATGACAACTAAAATTCATCTCTTTATAGAATAGGTTAGTAAAAATTATACAAGTATACGTGAATATCGTTCAATTACGTAATGCACACAATATCAGTATATATGAATGTATATATGTATAACTCATATAACTCACATAATAAAGCAATATCGGCATATACATATTTGTATATATGTTGCTATGTATATATTTATGTAGATATATGTATACAGAAAACAATGCATAGAACAATAATTCATCAAATCAATGAACTATATATATATATATATATATACTTATCATTTATTATATTTAAACAAAGCATGAAATTACACAACAAGAAAAAAAAACATTATTTGGTGTTGCTGTTGTTGTTTTTCTTTAAAATATAAAAAAAAGGATTAAAACAATGCATAAGTTAATTCAATGAACAATAGAAGACAAGGCTCCAAGTGTATAAAGAAAAACAAAATGAAAATAAAATATGGAATATAAGTTTAATAGATGGTAAAAATATATGGAAAACAAATAAACAATATTCATTGTATTCATTGATTAAGAAACAAAACCGATACACACACACACGTATGTATATAGATAGATAGATAGATATCAGTAGTAGAAGTAGTATCAATGGTTATTGATATTAATATTAAGTATGAAAAATGCTTAAGTCTTCAATCATGATTAAAGAGTAACCATCTAAATGAATCAATAAATAAAGGGGAAATGATTAAGAATTTTATAAAGATTAAATTAAGAGAAAGAAAAGAAAAAAAGAAGAAAATTCACCCACCCCCCCTCCTCAACAATCATTATCGATTTATACGATCAGATTATAACTAATTTATTGAATGAAAGAAATCAATTTATTACAAATGATAAACAAGACAAAACAAAAAAATCAATAAAATGGTATTTTTTTTCTATTTTTTTTGGTTGGATATTTTCATTTCCAAATTATTTACTTTATAAATAGTATCTGTGACCTAAAATATTTTTTTATTATATGCATATGAATATAGAAACAAACAAACAAAAACTTCCTCCTCCTAATAATAATAATAATCATATTCTTAGATTAAAGAAAAAAGATCAACAAATACCTTGGATACTGAATCAAATTTTGAAAAGCAATGGTTCAATCATTATTATTATTATTATTATTATTGATCATTGAAGCATATATAGTACATAAAACTTGCATTTATCTTATATATTTATATAGAAATAAATAAATAAATAATGATTGCTTCAAGATATATTAATGAATGATAAGCGTTATAGCAAAACAATGCTGATATTAATTCATAACTGTAATAATAATAATAATAATAGTTTATATTAATATTTCACAATATACAATACACTTTTTAGAAATATTTTGAATTCTTTTTACAAAAGTAAAATAACAAATAAACCATATACTACTAATACTACTACTAATAGAACAATCAATCATTCATTTGTTTTGTTTATCTATTCTGAAACAAGAATTAAACGGGGTTTTTTTGTTTTCACGGAAAAAAAGAGACTGGTATTCCCCCCCCCCCACATATATATATATACGTATAGAAAGGGGGGGGATGTATTGTTTTACAATTTCTTCAATTATATATAATAAGTTAGCAGTCGATAAAGAATACAGGAGTCTTTTTTTTAAAAATAAAAAAACAAAAAAACAAAAGATGTATACTGTTGCCAAAATGAGAAGAAAATCAATTTGAGAAATGACCATTCCCATTCATGATTAGTTGATTTGTTCTACGAATACAATTAATTGTTTGTTTAGTTTCCTGTTGTTTGTTTTTCTTCTTCTTCAAAATGATTAATGTTTTAGTTATAAGTTGGTGTTTTTATCTCTACGACCAATACAGATACACAGATATACACAAATAAATAAAAAAATTTTTTAAAAAGGTAGAACATGACAAGATTTCCAATAGTAGTAGTTAGGGATACAAAATGGATTGATTCAGTTTGAAATTTTGTGTAGTTTTGCTTCTTTTTTTTAAAAAATAACTATTCAGCTGGTTCATCAGCGAGTAACATAGAATAAAGTTGTTTATCTGCCATACAACCATCCATAAATTCTTCTCTTGTTAAAACTCCATCAGAGTTACTATCCATTTTTTCAAATATTTCATCTGTACGCGCTTCAGGACTTAAATCAACAGTTGATTCATCAGCACCTAGCATACTGTAAATTGCCTAGATGGATGTATATATTAGAAAAAAAACACAATAATATTATATAGATTAAAAGTATATGAATTATTGGAATTTAAGAAAATAATTCGGGTAAAATGATAATAAACGTGACAGACTTTGTATGACGTTAGATGATTGAAGTCAGTTAGCAGGATACCCTGTCCCATTTATGTTTCGTTGCTAGTTCGCACTTGTCAGTAAAGATTACCTGTGACTATAACCCGGACTGATGCTCCCTGATGGATTTGAAACATTAATACTCAGTTTCACAGTCCGAAATGTTGTAGGGGCTGGTACTATGTCAAGCCTATATAAGGTTATCCTAACCTCTGGACAGATCAATCTATTGGTTCTTTTCAAGCCACACTTTAACCCTGTCATTTATTCGCTTATTAATCGTGACTGATTTTTATATGATCGTATGTCCGCTAATTACTTATCTTACTCATCACATGTCTCTAAATTATTTTTACCTGAGTATAAATATCGGTACACGGTGCGTCATCACGTTTTGTTTCGTCCTCTCTTATTCGCTTCGTTTGTTGGATCGTCTGTCTGGACCACTGATAGTACGATATATACGTATTCGAAATTCATTCTCCTATTTGACTTATTTAATACCGTGATTCACTAACACGAGTTAAGTCGGTGATTATATAGGAGGATTGACGACATATATATTTCGAAAGCAGTCATTTAATAACAATCAGAAATGATCTAACTGGTGTTACCTAAAATGTTACCACTAAGCTTTCCAACACATGACTGATATCCCGTAAGACTGAGATATTTACCACTGATCGATCATTGAGTAACGACTAATATCATGTTTTGCCAGCTCATTTTTATCTCTGATCCGATTCTGTCAATCCAATTTTTTAGTGTAAATCGAAGTCGACTGAATAAAGCATTCAAGTACTATAATATCTTTAATAGAAAACACCGATTAATTTAAAACAGTTGAATGAACTTAAGATTCCCATGTGATACAGTCTGTTAGTAAGTATGCCTTGAGAATCAATCTATTTTTTTTAACTCAAATTGATTTTCAGTCTAGTTCCTAATAGCCACTCGGCGTGAAGGTTAGATTATTGTGTCACTTTCAACTTGATACCATCCTACTAAATTTTTCAATTGATTACGATCATTCTTCATTATGAACGACTGGAAGATTTCATTCAATGTGAGTGGGATCTGTGCATTTCTATGAGTGCAAAGACAAATCACCGTATGATTTATACAACAATAATCATCCTCCACGTGATTAAAGGAAGAAGAGATGAAATTCAGAAAAAGCTCGATTTTCTAAAAAGTCAAAAATATGGTACAATAAATCAATCTACTTAGCTGAATCACTATGGAAAACATGGAAGCACTGGATGGCCGTTACATCCTATTGTGAGACTCATTGAGAGATCCGAACCCAGGACCTATCTGTCCCGCACTCGAACGCTTGACCATTAGACTACTGAGTCGGCCGGCATCCAACGGTGTTAATGTCTAACTTCAACCAACCCACGAAATCGCGCCACTGTCCCTGATTGTGTTCAATGAGTTGCTATCTCACAACTGACCTGGTTGATCTCCACTGTTCACTGCTTCTCACTAGAACTCCAGGATATACACTTTGAAGCCAGTCACTAGTGAGCATATGTTGATTAGTATCAGAAAGTAGTTTTGTGGATGTGATAGTATCTTTTGATAGTTGCCAGCTCAGCGCTTGCGCTCGAGACAGGATCTTAGATGCGCACTGTTGATCAGTTCAATACTAGGACGAAACGACCGTCTAGTGCTTCCAGGTTTTCTATAGTAGTCTAGCTTCAATCGACTCATGATTGCAACTATTAAAATTACAAAATTAATAGTTTAATGCATTTCGACAAAAATACGTCTTTTGATACAAAAAAGTAGTAGAGTTTCATTCAGCAAAAAAAAACTATTCTAACTCATTCTAATCACGAAATATTTCAATGAAACATATTTCTAATCAAACAAGGTACTTTTTATGCCAACTAAAATCGCATTAATAGATTTCATTCGTAATATCAATTGAGTGTATGAGAATTTCACTGACTGAAATCATGAGTCAATTGAAGCTACATCACTATGGAAAACCTGGAAGCACTTGACGGTCGTTTCGTCTTAGTATGGGACTCCTCAGTAGTGTACATCCACGATCCCGCACCCTACGAGGTTCCAGGTTTTCCATGGTGGTCCAGCTCCAATTGACTCATGATTTCAATCAGTGAAATTCCTAAAATCTCTACAAAACCTATTCTGATATACGATAATTGTATGAAAGAACGATTTTCACTTGACAACTGTGACCGAGAATTTAAAAAAATAATAAAACTCATATAGTTGATTAATGTAAACATTGAATACAAGCGTAACAGTGTTATGCATTCTATCTTATACGATATTTTCTCTTTCTACCTATTGTTAGAATGATTAAAAGAAACCGCTTTCAGTATATAATATAAATTTAAACATAGCGAGAATCATAAACAATGATGGATGATGGCTAGTAGTGGAATTCAGGATGTGTGTTTCGTCCTACTTAGAACTTATTGACTGGATGTACCTACATCCCAGGGTTGATTTTCACTTTGAGACTCGAATCCAGTACCGTTCGCTTTAGTACCATTATGCTATTCACTTATCTACTGAATTCTGATAGCCACTAACTTATGCAGTGTGATTAAGTTTAAATTCATTTTGTATTGTCTGTTTGAATTTTCCCATTGATGTCTAAGACTGTAATTGATGAGTTTCAAGAATGCATTATATTTATAGGAAATAATAAACTCAGTTTAGTTCATTGCTTACTCTTTTTACCTACATACAAGTGAATAAGATATTTAAGATATTACTATTATGTAATAGGACAGAAATTTAGCTTGTTTAGAAAGACCAAAGAAATATGAGTTGAACTAAAAAGATTACAGTCAATCAGTCAGCTACAACGTAAGACCAGGCGCATATATGCATCGGTCCAAGTTGCCATACTTCATTAACACAACAAGATGAACACCGGATTCTTATGTTAGATAAGTTGTTAGAGGTTAATCATGAACTCTTTTTGAATACAATCGTAAGGATTAAATATTCTATGACTTCTGCCAAATCTTAATAAGGTGCGATTGAACTGTTTATTGATAAATTTGAGCGTGTTCATTGCGTTAATGTTATATCTCTTGTCTAGTAGGTAGCCTAATATCAAATGACAAAAGTTGTTTTGTCCTCAAAGTTGTATATTTTAATAGGAATGAGTTCAGTAAAACAAATGGAAATCAGGATTTCTGTCCTTCTGATGTAAATATTTTGCCATGCACATGTGAATTGATAATAATAATCAGACGGGATTTATAATGAACATTTGTCTTTTATTATTTATGTTACTGATCATAGTCTTGTATATGGTGAAACCAGTTTTGGAGTGATGAGTATGCTTTTTAAAACTGATTTTGGTCATTAATTTGATTCATAAATTGATCAACTTTGCAAACTTCTTCCTATTATTTCGATATTCTGAGCTGCATTTCTTTATAAATGCTTGAAAGTATCCATTTACTTATGGATGGTTATCTATTTCCGTATATTCCTCCTTGAGGTTTTCTGATGAATATAACTTTTTGACTCTGTGAGAGGATGATTTCATTAATCTATATCTATAGCATATATGTCACAATCTGTATACATTTAAGCATTATCCACTGCAGTTTCATTTCCTGCATGTTTACATTCGGTAAACTTTATTGAGATGGTGGAGAAGATTTGTAGCTCAGGTGGATGATTTTGGTGGAGTTTTGTTCTCTGAGCTGGATGGTTTGGTCGTGGAGCTTTCATCATTCTTCTGAACGACATCATCAGCACAAACTTCAGATAGACTTCCAGCTCAGAGAACAAAACTCCACCAAAAGGTAAACTTCATTATTTCTTCGAAAGGTGACTAAATCTCAAAAAAAGATTAGAACACACATTTTTCTTCATGTTTCATTGAAAACTCACTATTAAGATGTAATGTATTGAAGCTATCAAGTATCTTACCTAAATTTATCGATTATTTATCTAATCAATATCCGTTTAATAGATGTGATTGAACTATGGTACATAATTTTACATAACATTATTTGAAAAAAATAGTAATGAATAAATCCCAATTTATAATTGTGATCCATTCATTAGAAAGTAATTTAACAAAGATAGACATAATGGTGAAATTCATATTTGATGTTTAATCATATTTTTCATCTTCATAATGGAATTCATTAGTTGATCTAAGCTAAATCATCATTGAAAACCTAGAATCATTAGAAGGTTGTTTTATTCTAGTGTGGAACCTCACAGCAGTGCTCATCCGCAACCCTACACACGGAAATCAAACACAGGACCTTCGGTCGTGCGCGAAAACACTTAACCTCTAGATCACTGAATCGGTTTCCAACGGGATTAGTGTTTAACTTTAATCAATCTACGATATTGCACGATCATTTTCCGTTCTCTACAATGGGTATTTGCCACACAACCAACACGGTTGAACTTCACTGGTCACGGCTTCTCACTATAACTCCGAGAATTATCTCTGGAAGTTAATCATTAGTTGACACATGATTATTATCAGTAAGAGATTGTAGAGATTGTTAAGTTTCAACCTGCGTGCATAATCGCGGATGCCAGGGATCCCATACAATGACAAAACGGGCATCCAATCCTTCCGGGTTTTCCGTGATCTTCTAACATCGGCCAGTTAATGATTTCAGTAAAATTCAAAAATCTTTACAACTCTATACCAATATACATATAATGTTTGTTGAAAAATGTGTCCACTTAACGCTTGATTACACAATGGATATGTCTTTATGTTCACATTTCTTTTTCCACTCTACTTTTCAACAACAAGAAAACCCAGAAGTATTTATACTAGTTAGAATGATTTTTCGGTTTATTAATGAAGCAGATAAAACAATAAACTAACTAACTGACAAACAAACAAACAGTTGCCTGTATATCAATTTAGATAAAGATTAAACAGGAAACTTAAATAAATAAAAAGAGAGATACATTGGAATATGGACACTAATCAGTTGAAGTGTTGTCTGTTAAATATTCCATGTCATGTTATACACCATTATTTTTGTTTTACTGAACTAATTATTCTAGTATATAGTTAATTATAAAAATGTAACATTTTTTAAAATAAAGCAATAATTATAGGGAAATGAAAAGATTGTTCCTATTATGAACTGATTCTGATTAAGTAATCATTGAAATCAGAATGAAATCTGTCAGTAGTATACATCCATGACCTTACTGTGAACAATGGGGTTTAATCATATTGAACATAAAACTATTGATTTCCACCGACTCGTTAATCTAAAGGTTAAGTGTATGCTGATAGTCTTGGAGGTTGTTGGGTCAACCTTTAATGAGATGGTAGATGAGTATCACTAAGGAGTTATGTATTGGGACGAAATAGCTGTTCAGTACTTTTTGGACTTGAAGTGATGTCTAATTGAATTCTGAGCATATGATAAATAATGGCCAATGTTAAGTTTGCATAGTCCTTTCTTACTGATCGAATTCGATTGATCAAGCTGAAATGTAGAAACTAGTCCAGCTCATTGATAACGTTTATAACTGTGAATCTATATGATGCAGAGTTTGAATTACAAAATAAATGTCAACACCCCAGGTTATATTCTATCATTAAGTGTCAACTGATACATAATCGATGTTTAAGCTTTTAAGCTGACTACATTCGACGCTCAAACAACTATTCACTATTGAGAACTAAAGTAAAACAGAGATGTCACTCCCTCCTCCTGGTTTTCATCAGTTCTTGATCTAATAACTGTCAACAATGGGAAGAAACGGCCATCCACTGCTTCCATATTTTCCATGATGGCCTAGATTTAACTCTCAGAGACCTTATTTATTATTACTTGATAACAAATAACTTCATTTCACATTCATATATATTTTGATATAGATATTAATAATGAGAAGTTCAGTGACGAACCTAATGGGGGTGAGTGGTAATGTTTCGGGTCTTGAAATTGAGTCACATGCGTTCGTAACCTATATAGAGTATCAATGGTGTCAAGACTGTAGATACGCTTTTATTAGTGAACATCATCTATCAAGAAACATTTGTTGTCTAGGATATCCTATCTACGAACTTCAATGTATGAACATATTGGGAGATTCATATGTAAATGGAAGTATAAATCTATAATATTGATTTAATTGTTTACATTTCTCATATTTTGGAATATGAGCATACATGCATAATAGCCAATCATAGAGTAAACAGACTGTTACTAGCTAACAATATGTTAATACTTCATAACAGACTATACAGAATGATAATGACAAGATGTTGGAAAAATTTGATTGTATCTTTTTCAGTATGACTGACATTATACTTTGTTATCAGTATCAAATAGTTAATAAATCTAAAGTTCTTTTTTTAAAAACGAATTAATGTCACGTTTCTGTGTTTGCTTATCTACAGATATCGTTTTGTACTGATTAGCTTTAGTAACCTGTGAAAATGTCTGAAACAGTAAACGAGGGAATTGTGTAACCATATTCTAGATTTAAATCATTCAAGTAGATTCATAGAATATTCAAGATATATGTGAGTTTGTATATTCCTAGTTTATATGGAAATCATTCTTAAATAATTAAAAGACTTTAGTTTGATTTATTACTATGTAGAAATCAATATTATGTTGATATTGTACTAAATATTGATTGAATTCTATCAAATAAGTTGTACCATTGATTTCTAGTCAATGTGAATCAACATGACATATTTCAAGTTTTGATGTTCCATATTTAGAACCAAGTGATACAAAACTTTAAACACAAGTGTCTTATTATCAGTACCAGTAAGCAATGTATATTTACAATCTTCAAAGAACATATTCTTACGGTGAAATCTGAACCTTGAAGTTAGACTGTGAAACTGAGTGACACTAGCTTGAATCTCACAATGAGTTTCTGCTTGTCCAAAATGATAAGTATACCTTGTTGTCGATTACTAACTAGTGAGAAACCTAACTCAAGTAGGACGTCCTTCCTACTAAAATCAGTCATCTAAGAAGCCTGACATCATAGTTAGAATTAAAATATGACAAATATGGTGTCACTTACCATTTAGTAATCAATCAAAGTACATATTTCAGTCCTATAAAAGATTTGTCTCACTTTCAATAACTTAGAGGTATTAGTTGTAACAATAAATGATCATGTTTGGATCCACAACACGGGCAGCCATCCTCTTAAGATGGCCAATACCTCTTGATGATAAAATTCAACTTATATAAAATTTACAATTATGACCGCCTACCGACTCTTCCTAATCACTAAACATAGACTCTAATTGCATGCAATTTTAGCAAAGTAATAAAAAAAATTTTGTTTTTGAAAATAGATCGAAATAGGTTGTTCCATAGCAATTCATAATCAACATTACATCTGTCCACATGATAAGATTTTCAGCTTAGATAAATGCTACTGATGATTATACTTCTACAGACTAGGATGATGTGATTGCCAATTTCCCACCATATTTCTGAATGGGACCATCAATGCTTAATTCAAGTGGGACTATGCTTTCCAAAGTTCATCATTAGATAATTAACCTGCCTGTCCTGATGGTCTTGTTTGTAGTTTTATACAAGAGACTAGTTTCATTCGGACCATAACTGGAAACTAAGAAGCTCTGGGTGACTATTTCGTCATAGTATAGGTCTCCTCAACAATTCATATTCATGATTCAATAATGGGTGACCACAATCGAATCTCACTAATACTAGAAATTTAAGCCATTTAATGTCACCTCAGCAGTCAGTAGGTTAAACTTCCATCACAAGACCCGGGGAATTCAACTGTGGAACCCAGTGGGGTCATGAATGCTTACTTTCAAAGAGTCGTATGCTAGGACGAAATACCCATCTAGTGCTTTGTCATCATCTAAGATTGTTTAATAATTCAAACTTTAAAAACCCATACAATTCTTCTTTACTGAAAGATCTGTCAATCATTAATTCACTATAATATATATTAATAATTATTAGAAATAAAATTTATTCTACTCACTTTAATAATTTCAACCATTTCATGCTTTTCAATAGTTCCATTACCATTAATATCATACATTTGAAATGCCCATTCAAGTTTCTCTTCTGGTTTACCACCTGATGTAATATTAATTGCTAATAGAAATTCTTTAAAATCAATTTTTCCAGAATTATCTTTATCGAATGTTCGAAATACATGTGTACAAAATTCTTCAGCATCACCATCAGGAAAAAATCCAGAATATACTTCAATAAATTTCTTTTTACTTAATTGACCAGAAGGACAATCTCTCTACAAATAATAATAATAATAATAATAATAATAATAGTAATATAAGTATTCTTGTTTTAAATTTTATTATAGGATAATGTGTATATATTTGAAATAGAATAAGTTATGCACTAATATTGTGGTATGTGTTATTTATATTGACATAAGTAGTATATAACGTTAGTTAGGAATAGAATGTCTAGAAGCAGAAGTATGAAAAGATCGTGAAGGAAAGAATGGGAACAGAAAGCAATTGGTATGAAAATGCAGGAGCAATGAAGTATGAAACAATTAATGAATATTATGCAAATGAAGTATTGGTGTATAAGGTTTCTATTTTATGAAGTAATTCTGTAATTTTGTACTAAATATAATCTGTTGTCCTCATTTGTGCTCATCTTCACGTCATTCAGTCAGTCAGTCAGTCAGTCAGTCAGTAACAACGTAGAACTTCGTACGTATATGCATCAGTCCGAATTGTCATACCAAATTAGCTCCGGGATGCAGTTGTCGATTCAAATCTCATAGTGGTAGAGGTAGTAAAATTATAAATGAATAGTTTAATTATATCATCTATGCTGAACTCTAATTAACTTTGAACGGTTTCATTTTTCAATCATTATCAAACTAAAATAAGCGTAACATCTGATGTATAATATAATTTTGAGCAATGTTTGTGTAAGTATTGAGTTCCGCATTGACTATGACTAATTAATAGAATAATAAGTACACTTCTTATTTATCAGCATCTATTTTATGAATCATAAATTATGTACAATAGAAATAGAATATAACAATTTAAAAATGATATATTGTAGCGTGTACTACTGATGTTAATAAATATAAGTAGTATGTAGCATCAATAGAAATCGAAATACCTGGCAGCAGAATGTTAAGAAGATTGAAGACAAGAGAAGAAGAACATAGAGTAATTGATGTGGAAAAGAAGAATCAATCAAATCTGAGACGATTGATCGACATTTACAAAAGGAATAGTCAAGTTTGAGACAACTGTTTAAGATTTTGCACATTAAGGTTTTACTGTTTGGATCCCAGATTTTATTAAAGCCTTTTGTAAGTTTGTATTGAACTACACTCCATTGTCCTCACTTGTATTCACGTTCACTTCAATATCCTTGAACATCATAGACAACATGATACTAGATCAATTTCAAATTTTATGTTACAATAGAATTAAACTTAACACTATTCACTTTAAGTTGACTGATTCTAATTCCTTTTTTATATAATTTAATAGTTGAATTCATAAGTCAATTAAAGTTAGACCACCATGGAAATTTTGGAAGCCCTGAATGGCCGTTTTGTCCCATTGTAGGACTCCTCAGGTGTGCGCATCCATTCATCAATGTTAATGACTTACTACAACTGATCCACGAAATTGCGCCACCGTATACCATTGATCTAGCTTTAATTGACTTATGATCTCAACTATTAAATTACTATAATATCGACAAAAACCCCTTTCTGATTAAAATCATAATAGTTAAACAAACGATATATATTTGTAGTAAAACATATTAGTTAATGTGGATTCGAATCATACAACCGGGTACAATTTCGTTTAAGATTATATAGATACTATGTCAGTAAGGGTTGATTAACATCAAAACCTAATTTCTGGATCTTTTTAAAAACTTAACTATCACCCGTATTCATCTAATATAAGTAACCTTTAAGTTTATGGTACTCAGGTTATAACAAAACAAAATTATAGTTAAGCTAATTAAATTGTTATTTATTAATGAAAATCTCAATATTCCTATTGTTTATGTGTTGTTAATTATACAGGATGATAAAAATTGAAAATCTGTTGGAAACCATTTTGTACTGAAAAGCTGTTTCGTTATAGTTCGGTAGTCATCATTAGTAATAGGAACATAATAAACTAAACAACTGAGTTGGTATACATTATCATGATTGGTAATTTTGAGGTATGTTGTGGCTTATTGTATCATTCTTGAACAAGCAGCATCTTTGATGAACACGGTGGATCTGATGAAGATGTGAATGCGCGGATCGGAAAAGTAAAAGCAGCGTGTCTGCAAATGAAGAATATCTGGAATTCAAAACAAGTGTCAACCAACCATACAGTTCTACTGTATGGGGTGGAAACTTAAACCACTACGAAAGCCATCATCCAGAAGATACAAGTGTTTATTAACAGTTATCTACGCAAAATAATTCGGATCCGTTGGCCAGACACTATCAGCAACAACCTTTTGTTGGAGAAGACAAACCAGATCCAAGTGCAGGAAGAAGTCACGAAGAAGCGATGTTAGTAGATAGAACACACATTGAGGAAATCACCAAACTACATCACAAGCAAGTACTGACTTGAAATCCCCAAGGTCAAAGGAGGAGAGGAATATCAAAGAATACATTATGCCGAGAAATGGAGAAGAACATGAGAAGAATGAACAACAATTGAATAGAAATAGAATGGAAGGCTCAGAACAGAGTGCGTTGGATAATTCTGGCTGGTGGCCTATTCTCCATTGGGACTAATAGGCGTAAGTAAGTAAGTATGGTTCACAGATTTTACTAAGACGTTCTGTAACTTCATGTTCAACTACATTCGGATGTCCCCATTCGTGTTCTTGTTCATTACATCAATATGTAAGAGTATTCAGATAAATTCTAATACAGAAGATGATTAAATCACTGCGTAAGTGAAGTCAAATTGTTAAGCACTATAAACTTAATTTTATACATGCAATCAAATGTGTATGTTTATGTTTTTTTTTCTTTGCGGTGAAACATAATTTAAAAAATGGAATACAATTCCAGAATGAGACATTAGTAGTTAATGTGTGCCATATTGCAGACATTTGATATTGATTCTATATTCTTCAAGAGTTTATATCATGGATTGATCTTCGATAAATAAACATTGAAAATCAGAAAGAACTGAATGACTTTTTCATTCTGTTATGGAAATCCTTATCTGTGTACATCCAAGAAAAACCTTGAATTGAGTTCGAAAGTCCTAGGTTTAACCCCTAACATGTAGAGTTATTAATACAAATTACTGGGGAGTCACATATCATAACGAAACATTGTCCATTTCCCTTTGTTTTTTAATGGCCGTCGACTGGAGATAGATCTGTGATGTTAAACTGAGGACAATTTAACCTTTTTTATAAAATGATCCTGTATTTATTTGAAAGAAACATTGATTATGTAACTAAAAATTGGTACCATTCACAGAGAAGTTTTCCAGAGTGAGTTAAACAAAGTTTCATCCATTATTGTACTATATATAGGCTTTAACTATAGTTAATGGTTTGTTTTCTTAAGCTTATTTATTGTGATTGCCTTCCTTGTTGTCCTAATTCATGACCAAATAGTCATTTTTAGTTGTGTTTTTTTAACAGGGTGAAAAATGGGATCAATATCGGCATATTTATTAATCGTTGATTGATCTAAGTTCCAAATTTCTATAAATTCTCTGGTATTATTTGTATTCACTCTGTCCGAGATTTCAATATTTTACCAGCCAAATATGTGTGTACAATTATATACATAGATTGATATAAGTGAAAATATACAAGCTTTCTTCTATCTAAAGTTTATACTAATAAATAAAAATGAAAGCTTCATTATTAAACCATCCAGCTAAAAAGAATTCAGCTCTACCTGGATCATTATTATGATCTACAAATTTTCGCCAACATCTCAATATGTTTGATGAACTGTACATTATTTACTGATCTATGATTATCAATTTATTATTATGTTATGTGAGATAGTAACTCAGTGATGACAATGGTGGATGTGTCACTGAATTTCGTGGATCAACTGAAGTGAGACATTAACACCGTTGAATGCCGGCCAGCTAAGTGGTTTAGTGTTTCAGTGCTCGCGCGCGAGACCGACAGGTCCTGGGTTAGAATCCCTCGAGGAGGGGTCGTTGATGCGCATTAATGAGGAGTACCACAATAGGACGAAACGGCCATCCAGTGCTTTCCAGTTTTCCATGATAATCTATTTTCAACAACACTAGTGAGCTAATTATTACAATTAAACTGAAGTTCTGTTGTAATGAATATTGCATACAAACTACAACAATCTCTATAGAATCCTTTTAAATAAACTGTTCACAAGACTGCTCATAAGTAGTATGTATGCCTCAAAGCCGGCACAATCATCAGACGGAGAGAAAACTTTCTGAATGTCAAAAAACACAGCATAAGCAGAACACTTACGAACCAGAAGAGAAGACATTTCGCATTTCAGAAAACACCCTAAGATGCAAATGAATAACCAAATATACTATATAAACACTGTAGTTTTTCATAGTAGAGATTGAGTCCTTTTACTACTGTATTGTTCTATAACATGTTGAAATCATGAAAGCCTCTTCTTCTCTATTACCTAAATCATTGTGTATTATGTTAGGCTTAATTAAATTGATAATTATAATTCTCTTGACTAGTATGGATTATAATTCGGAATCATAAATCATATGGAAAAGTAACTATTCTTTTAAAACTCCGCCTGGAGTCCCTCTGAGGAATACTGCCGGTTCCAAGCCCGGATAAAGGAGGAGGGTTGGGCATGGGGTTAGCGACCCCATCCCGTAGAAAAGAAACTCACTGAAAGAACGCTAACCAAAAAATAACTAATATTTTAAAAATAAGAAATTAGTTATAACACAAAAAAGGGCACTCAAGACTTATCATTGTCTCTTTGCTTGAAAAGCTTGTGACTTAAGGCTATACTGAAGCAATCTGCACAGGATGCACATATGCCAACATGAGACTGATCAATTACAGTTCTAAATAACAATAGGAAGATACAAGTAAAACAACACCAAGTGAATTTAATTGTTTACTGTTTATACTTTTGTGTATAGTTGACTAATGCATAATTCAACTTCTACTAAATAAGTAACATTTCAATGGTACATTTGGATTCATATTGTAGTGAAGGAGAACACAGGTGAGGACAATCAAATTACATTTAACTCAACACTACAGAGTTACTTGGTAAAATAGAGA